TTTTTTTTCATCATGATTTTCAGGTAGTCCAATGATTTTTAAATTGTCTGTCCTGGATTGATTTTCTAGGTCGGCGGTTCTACCGATGAGGTATTTTATGTTTTCATCCATTTTTTCATTTTTTTGTTTCTGTTTGACTGATTCTTGCTCTCTCATAGAGTCATTAGTTTCCAATTGTCCAATTCTAGTTTTTTAACAGATTGTTTTCTTCTGTTAGTTTTTGTACTTCCTTCTTCAATAGGCCAATTATATTTTTAAAGTATTTGTTTTCTTCAGGGTACTTTTTTCCCAGTTTGCCAATTGCGTTTTTTAGGGACTTGCTTTCTTCAGTGTACTTTTTTTCCAATTGGCCAATTGTATTTTTTAAGGACTCTTCTACCTCTCTCATTTGACTGTTAAAATCCTTCTTGAGCTCTTCTAAGAAGGCTTTTTGGGCTTCTGACCAGTTTATATTCCCTTTTGATGTCTCAGATGTGGGTTTGTTGACAATGTTGTCCTCTTCAGAATTTGTGTCTTGATTTCCACTCTTCTCATAATATTAATCTATGGTACGTTTCTTTTTATTCATGGTTTCTTTATTCCCTGGCCTTTAAAGAGATTGAGCTCTCCTGCTGGGGAACAGAGGGCACTGACCCAAGCTTCTTGTGTCGGGAGCCTAGGTCTTGATCACTGGCTTTGTGTGCTGGGGCCTCTTGTGCTAGCAATGGAGGTTGTAGGGTTCAGGCAGTTTACCTTGTGTTGGGCTGGAATCAGCAAGGCTGTAACTTTCAGGCAATTCTAGGTTGCCTATTTTTCCTTTCCTTTAGCTTTCTTCAGCTCCTATTAGATGGGTGCTGCAGGGTGTTTATCTGTCTGGGTCCCCTTGCAATGCTGCCTCCCTCGTTTCTGCTAATGCACTGGGAGATTCCTTTGATGTATAGTGCTGAGGCACCTGGTGGTTTTCTGAGCTGGTTTCTACTGGTTCCCCTCCCCTCATTGAGGCACTCAGAGGTCTGGGTGTTGGTGCTTGCCTGCTCTACCACCTGGGCTTCAGGATCGCTTCCTGGTTGACAGTTGGAGGCTGTAGGGTTCTGAAAGCTTACCTGGTGTTGGGTTGGAATCAGCAAGGCTGGGACTTTAGGAAGACTGTAGGTTGCTCTCAGATGAATGCTTCAGGGTGCTTATCCACCTGGGGCACTTTGTAGTGCTGCTTCCCTTTTTTTTGCTGAGGCACTGGGAGACCCATTTGCTGGGCTCTTGCACTGTTGTTCCCTGTCTTTCTTCTACTTCAGCTGTTTCAGGTTTTTTTTTTTCCCTAGGGTGATATTTTCTGGGTTTTCAGAGGTTGATACGAGAGGGTGAGAATGACTACCTTTTTACTCCACCATCTTCGCTCCCCCTGACACTTTCTACATATGTATGTAGGCATAACCTCTTTGTGCCTCAGTAACATCATCTGTAGAATGAAGATAATACCTGTGCTACCAAGCAAACATGACAGTTATGAGCAAAAAGTTTTAAGTAAAGGTGAATGATTACTAACCTCTAGAATTTCCCAAAAGGTAAACAGGCTATAAGGGAGGAGTTTCCCATTGCTGGAGGACCTGAAATATGTTCAATGACCATTTGTTAGAATTGTTGAGAGGGAATTCATATTTTAGACTGGGGATTGAACTAGATGACCTTTACCTGAGATTCTATGATTGTTTAGTTAACTCCTCCTTCCTTAATTGCTATTATTGTATCTTTAATCCTTAAAGCATTACTAGTATGTGATTATCATCCCATTTTATAGTTGAGGAAACTGAGGTAAAGAAGTAAAGGAATTGATTAAAGACAGGTTCTTAACCTTTTTTGTGTCATTCTGTGTCATTTTGTATTATTTTGTGACTTCTTTGGTAGGCTGGTGAAGTCTTTCTAAGTGTGTTTTGTAGCTGCACAAAATAAAATATATGGAATTACCAAGGAAAACAATTATAGTGAAATAAAATTATCAAAATATATTAAAAAACTCACAAACCTCAGGTAAAACATCTCTATACTAAAGTAAAGCAGGTATAGGTCTCTATATAGCAAGGATTTTCAAAATCTCATTGCACATTTATCTCCCTGCAGTCACATAGCTAGATGGGGTGAAGATAGACAATTATCTTTTCCAACCCACTTAGATCAGTTCAATTCAATTTTAAAAAGAATTCTAAAGCATCTCTAGGTACAAAGCACAAAGCTGGGTCCTGAGGGAGATGCAAAGTTAAATGAGAGGTGGTCCTACCCTTAAGGAGAGTATACATAAGAGGAGAATTAAGACCTGTATTCAGATAATAATAAAATGAAATAGTCTGTAACAAATGCATAAGAAAGAACCAACTAATACCAAAGAGTTTATAGGCAGGAGAGATTAGACCACTTACAATCAGGAAAATCCGTATTCATAAAATAGGCAGCAGAGTATTCTGGGAGATTGGTGAAAAGACCATACCTCTGGGTGGTGTTCCAGCTTGAGTGAAGTGCACATACCTTGGGGCAGATACCACTCAGATACCACAGAATCCACAAACAGCAAACCCTGGGGGCAGCTGCGAGGCAGCAGAGTCAACTTTGGGAACTTTTGGTCAGTGTGGGGGTCAGACAGCTGATCAGGGGAAGATTTCAGGGCCTTCCACTGGTGCTGGATGTGAGGCCTGCATGTGTTGATGAGACACAGTCTCAGCTTGTGGCTGGGAATGAGAGGAGCAAGCACATGCTGGTAAGTGTGGTTGGGCAGGGGCCCTGCTGCCTGTGGGGACTCACAGGAGAGTAACTGATTTTGTTCCAGGGCAGAGGGCTGAGCTGAAGCTTGCAGCTTCAGGGAGTAAGGGCATGTATGGTGACAGCCATTGCTAGGGGCCTTGCTCCCCATGCTCATAAGCAGAGAGAAGTACCTGAGGTCAGGGCCCCCCAGATACAGCTCAGAAAACAATAGATAGAAAAACCTGAAGCCTGAGATACTATCCACACACCTCAGGACAAGAGCCTGACTCTAACACACAATTAACAGACAAAAAAAAAAAGCTGCTTAAAAAAAATAAAAGTAAACAAAAGAGAAAGAATCTGACCATAGACAGCTACTTTGGTGATAGAAAAGATCTGATTCAAACTCAGAAGAAGATAGTGAAGTTAAAACAGCTACTTGTACTTCAAAGAAAATGTACTATTTTCACAAGCCCGAAAAGAGGTCTTGGAAGAGTTAAAAAAAAAAAAACTTTAAAAATCAAATAAGACAGGTTGAGGAAAAACCAGGAAAAAATATAAGAGTAATGCAAGAAAATCAAGAAAATTATGAAAAGAAAGTCAACTAAAAACTTATGGAAGAAAATAACTTTTTGAAAGTCAAAATTGGGCAAGAAGAAGCTAATGACTCCATAAGATACCAAGAAATAATAAAACAAAATCAAAAGAATGAAAAAGAAGAAAATGTGAAACATCTTATTAGAAAAACAACTGATCTGGAAAATGGATCAAGAAGAGACAATATAAAAATTGTTGGATTACCTGAAAGTTATGATAAAAAAAAGAGTCTAGATACTACACTTGAAATTATTAAGGAAAATTGCCTTGAAATTTTAGAACTAGAGCGTAAAATAAAAATTGAAAAACTCCAGTAATTACCACCTGAAAGAGTTCCCAAGATGAAAACTCATAGGGACATTATAACTAAGTTTTGAAGCCTCCAGATCAAGGAGAAAATAAAACAAGCAACCAGAAAGAAACAATTTAAATACTGTGGAGTTACAGTCAGGATATTACAAGATTTAGCAGCGTCTACATGAAAGGACTGAAGGGCATAGAACATTCTGAAGAGCAAAGGAGCTGATTTGCAATCAAGAATAACTTACGCAGCAAAACTGAGTGTAATCCTATATGGAAAAAAATGTATATTTAATGACTTCAAGAATTTTCAGGTATTTGCAAGGAAAAGACCAGAGCTGAACAAAATAATTTGACCTACAAGAATCAGGAAAACATCAAAAGGTAAACATTAAGGGCCAATTATGAAGGATTTAATAAGGTCAAATTGCTTACTTCTGTCCATTTTAAAAAAATTAATTTACTTTGATTTATCAACAATCACTTCCATAAGCTTTTGAGTTTTAAATTTTTCTCCCCCCTCCCTCCCTGCCTCCTTCCCCAAGATGGCACACAATCTGATACAGGCTGTACATATACATTGCTATTAAACATATTTTCACATTAGTGATGTGGTAAGGAAGAATTAGAACCAATAGGAGGAACCACAAGAAAAAGAAAACAAAACAAAAAAGAAAAAAATAACAAAGAGTATGCTTCGATCCGCATTCAAATTCCATTGTTCTTTCTTCATATGTGGAAAGCATTTTCCATCATGAGGCTTTTGGAGATATCTTAGATCCTTGAATTGCTGAGAAGGGCTAAATCTATCAATGTTAGCCATCACACAACGTGGCTGTTACTGTGTACAACATTCTCCTGGTTCTGCTCACTTCACTCAGCATCAAATCATACAAGTCTTTCCAGGTTTTTCTGAAGTCAGCCTGTTCATTATTTCTTATACCATAATACTATTCCATTACATTCATATACCATAACTTGTTCAGCCATTCCCCAGTTGATGGGCATCCTCTCAATTTCCAATTCTTTGCCACCACAAAAAGAGCTGCTATGAATATTTTTGTACATGTGGGTCCCTTTCCCATTTGTATGATCTCTTTGGAATACAGCCCTAGAAGTGCTGTTTCTGGGTCAAAGGGTATGCACATTTTTATAGCCCTTTGGGCACAGTTCCAAATTGCTCTCCAAAATCGTTGGATCATTTCTCAACTCCACCAACAATGCATTAGTATTCCAATTTTCCCACATCTTCTCCAACATTTATCACTTTCCTGTTTTGTCATGTTGGCCAGTCTGATGGGTGTGATGTGGTACCTCAGAGTTGTTTTGATTTGCATTTCTCTAATCAACAGTGATTTAAAGCATTTTTTTGTTATGACTATAGATGGCTTCAATTTCTTCATCTGAAAACGGTCTGTTCATATCCTTTGACCATTTATCAATTGGGGAATGACTTGTATTAAGTTGTTTACTTCTTACACAGGAAAATGTTATCTAGAAGGGTATAAAAGTCTTTTTAACTTACAGAGAATTATAAGTGTAAAGATATGAGCTAAGGGAGGGACCCTTAGGAGGGTGTGTGGATTAAGAAATAGGAGAGCAAGAGGAGAAGATAAGGGATGGATTCTTAGCAGGGGAGCAGACTAGGGAGGCAGTGGTCAGAAGTAAATTAGACAGTTGAGGAGGGGTAGGGTAAAAAGAGAGGGAGAGAAGGATAAACAGTGAAGAAAAATAGGATGGAGGGAAATATATAACTCATAATGTTAACTTTGAATGTGAAAGGGATCAACTCACCCAAAAAATGGAAATGGACAGAATAGATTGAAAACCAGAATCAGACAATACGTTGTTTACAAGAAACATTTTTAAAAATGAGAGATACACATAGAGTAGAAATAAAAGACTGGAGTAGAATTTATTATGTTTCAGCTGATGTAAAAAAGAAAAGTAGGGGTAGCAATCATGATCTCAGACATCTCAGCTAAAATGGATTTAATTAAAAGAGATAAACAGAGAAACTACATTATGTTAAATGGTACCATAAATACTGAAGTAATATCAATACTAAACCTATATACACCAGCATCCAGAATTTTAAAGGAAAAGCTAAATGAATTACAGGTAGAAATAGATGACAAAACTATAACCTTTTCTTCTCAGAACCAGATAAATCTAACCAAAAATTAAATAAGAAAGAAGTTAAAGATATGAATAAAATCTTAGATAAACCAGATATGATAGATACATGGATAGAATTGAATGGGAATAGAAAAGAATTTTCTGAGTGGTACATGGGACCTTTACAAAAATTGACCGTATTTTAGGACATAAAAACTTTGTAGTTAAATACAGAAAAGCAGAAATATTAAATGCATCCTATTCAGATCATAAAGCAATAAAATTATTATTAGTTAACATAGATACATAGATTAAACATTTATTGGAAACTAAATAACCTAATTTTAAAGAATGAATGGGTTAAAGAACAAGTCATAGAAACAACAAATGATTTTTATTAAAGAGAATGATAATAATGACACAATATACTAAAATTTATGGGATGCAGCAGTAATCAGAGGAAAGTGTATATACTTAATTCTTACATCAATAAAATAGAGAAAGAGCAGATCAATGAATTGAGTATGCAATTAAAACAACCAGAAAAAGAACAAATTAAAAATCCCCAATTTAACACCAAATTGGAAATCCTAAGAACTAAATGTGAGATTAATAAAATTGAATCTAAGAAAACCATTGAATCAATAAATAAAACTAAGAGTTGGCTTTATGAAAAAAACAAAAAAAGATAAACCATTTGTTAATATGATTTAAAAAAGAGAAAAGAAAGCCAAATCACTACAGTTAAAAATAAAAATAGTAAGAATACCACTAAAGAATATGAAATCAAAGCAATTATTAGGAGCTATTTTGCCCAATTATATGCCAATAAATTTAACAATCTAAATGAAATGGAAGAATATTTACAGAAATATAAATGGCCTAGATTAGCAGAAAAGGAAATAGAATATCTAAATAAACATATTTCAGAAAAAAGAAATTGAATAGGCCATAAATGAATTCCTTAAGAAAAAAGCATCAGGGCCAGAAGGATTTACAAGTAAATTCTACCAAACATTCAAAGACCAACTAATTACTATTTAAATAAATTATTTGGAATAATAGGAGAAGAAAAAGTCCTGCAAAACTCCTTTTATGAAACAAATATGGTGCTGATAACTAAACCAGAAAGAGCAGAAACAGAGAAAGAAAATTATAAACCAATTTCATGAATTAATATGGGTGCAAAAATCCTAAATAAAGTACTAACTAGGGACTACAACAATATATCACAGAGATTACACATTATGACCAAGTGGGATTTATGCCAGGAATGCAGGGATGATTTGACATAAGGAAAACTATTGACATAATTGATTATATCAATAACAAAAGTATCAAAAATCTTGATTATATCAATAGATGCAGAAAAAACTTTTGACAAAATACAACACTAATTCCTATTAAAAGACACTTGGAAGCATAGGTAGAAATGGATTCTTTCATAAAATGATAAGAATCATCTACCTAAAACATCAGCAACCATAATTTGTAACTGGGATAAGCTAGAAGCCTTCCCAGTAAGATCAGGAGTGAAAAACAGATGCCCATTATCACCAATATTATTCAATATTTTATTAAAAATGCTAGCAATAGCAATAGTAGAAGAAATTGAAGGAATTAGAAAGGGCAATGAGGTAATAAAACTATCTCTTTTTGCAGACAATATGATGATACACTTGGAAAATCCTAGAGATTCAACCAAAAAGCTAGTTGAAACAATAATTTTAGCAAAGTAGCAGGATATAAAATAAACTCACATAAATCATCAGCATTTTTATATATCACCAACCAAACCTTGCAAGAAGAGATAGTTAAGAGATAACCCATTTAAAATAATTGTAGACAGCATAAAATGCTTGGAAGTATACCTGCCAAGACAAATCCAGGAACTACGTGAACCTAATTATAAGACATTTTTTATACAAATAAAGCCAGATTTAAATAATTGGAGAAATATTAATCATTTATGGGTAGGGAGAACCAATATAATTAAAATGACAGTTCTATGTAAACAAACCTACTTATTCAATGCCATTCTAATTAATTACCAAAAAATTATTTTATTGAGCTAGAAAAAAATAATAACAAAATTAATTTGGAAAAACAAAAGGTTAAGCATATCAAAGGAAGTAATAAAAAAAAAAGGAAAAGAAGGCGGCCTAGTAATATCAGATCTTAAACTAGATTATGTGGAGGTAATTATCAAAACTATCTGGTACTGGTTATGAAATAGAAAAGTGGATCAGTGGATATAGAAAAATTGGGACACTAATGCACCGTTGGTGGAATATGAACTGATCCAACCATTTTGGAGAGCAATTTCGAATTATGTCCAATGGGTTTTAAAACTATGTATTCTCTTTGACCCAGCAATACCACTATTAAGGCTGTTTCCCAAGGTGATCAGGGAAAAAGGAAAAGAGCCTATATGTTCTAAAATATTTGTAGCAGCTCTCTTCATGGTAGCGAAGAACTGGAATTGAATGGATGCCCATCACTTGGGGAATGGCTAAACAAACTGTGGCACATGATTGTGATGGAACACTACTGTGCTATAAGAAATGATAAGCCAGTTGATTTTAGAAAAATATATGTACATTTATATCTTTTATGTATCTCTATGTACATTTCAAATGATGGCTTTCTCTAGTACAGGGTAGGGAGGAAGGGAGACAGTTCAGAACTTAAAATGTAACAAAAACATAAATGAAATTTTTAAAAAAAATAGGTGATATTTGAAGTGGACAAAGGGAGAGGAGCCATACACTTGGCTTGGTTGTAGCATACATGAAAAAAAATTTACTTTGAGATGAGGCAGAATGGTAGTTTGGAGCCAGATTGTGGAGGACTTTGAATGTCAGGGTAGCCTTTGATATTCGTTACAATAGAAAGTTGCTGAGATTTCTATTTTTTTCTAACATTTATTTATTTATTTTTAGTTTTTAACATGCACTTTTATAAGATTTTGAGTTTTAAATTTTCTCCCCCTTTCCCTCCCCTTTCCCCATGATGGCATACAATCTGATATAGGCCATAAATGTACAATCATAATAAGCATATTTCCACATTAGTCATGTTATAAAGAAGAATTAGAACCAAAGGGAAAAACCATGAGAAAGAAAAAACCAAAAAAAGAAAAAAAAAGGAAAAATAGTATGCTTCAATCTACATTCAGACTCTATAGTTCTTTCTCTGGATGTGGATAGTATTTTCCATTATGTGTCTTTTGGAATTGTCTTGGATAATTGCATTGCTGAGAAGAGCTAAATCTGTCAAAGTCAGTTATCATACAATGTTGCTATTACTATGTATAATGTTTTCCTGGTTCTGCTTATTTCACTCAGCATCAGACCATGCAAGTCTTTCCAGGTTTTTCTGAAGTCTACCTGCTCCTTATGAAACAATAGTATTCCATTATATTAATATACCACAACTTGTTCAGCCATTCCCCAATTGATGGGCAGCCTCTCAAATTCCAATTCTTTACCACCACAAAAAGAGCTGCTATAAATATTTTTGTATATGTAGGTCCTTTTCCCATTTTTATGACCTCTTTGGGATATAGACCTAGAAGTGGTATTGCTGGATCAAAGGGTATGCACAGTTTTATAGCCTGCTGGGCATAGTTCCAAATTGCTCTCTAGAATGGTTGGATCAGTTCACAACTCCACCAATAAAGCATTCCACTCAGTGGAGCAAGTGGAGCAAGATGATCAGATCTGTTCAACATGAAGATGACTCTGGTATCATTGCGTAGAGTGGTCATGTGAGGGGTGGAGGAAAGGATAACCTTGTGAAAGTGAGTGATTAGGAGGCTATTTTAATAGTATACACTAGAAATCATATACTAGGTTATGGGAACAAAAAAGAAGCGTAGATCTGAGGGATATCGTTGGGGTAGAATCACAGAGATTAGGTAAGAGATTGGTTGGGATGAAATACATATCAATTCTTAGTACAGTGCAGTGCCCTACCTTAAATGGAGCCAAAGAAGAAATCAGTGACTATTCTCTGTTGTCCTACTGTATGATTGGGTTAATATTCTTCCTGTTGTAGAGAGAGAGTGTGTTATTGTTTGGACTGAGAGGTTGGACTAACTGCCCTCTGGGTTCTTAGCCCTAAGACAAAATGAGTTTTCCATTACAATTCTTATTCTGCCTTTATAGGTCATTGTTTCAATTTAAGAAGCATTTATTGAAAAAAAGACTTAAAACTACATTTTATTTTTACATTATAAGCACTTCTTAAAGCGCTCCCCTCTTTTTCCCACTCTGAGCTTTCCCCAAAACAATTAAGCAAAACCATCCATTGATAAGAGTGGGTAATGTTCCATAACTTACCATTTAACAGAGAGGAAATAAGAATGTTTTGAACATCAGCCTTTTAGAACCAACATTGGTCACTGAAGGGAACCTGAATTCCATTGTCTTTTTTCTTCAGCCACTTTTATTGAGTGCTTCCTACGTGCAGGGCCTTGTACTTGGTGGTATTGGGTTTCCCTATAGTGCTGCTTGTTTACCATAATAGAGTAAATCTTCCAGGGAACTCCATTTTGAGAACTTTGACATGTTATGAGTTGACTCCGCCCTTCAATGACTGGTTAGTATCTTTTTGCTTGGATGGTATCCAGAATATAAAGGTAGAGTAACATGGATCAGTCAATTGACAGAAATGTTTAACAAAATAAATAAAAATACAACACAATGTTAATTTGTGGTTTCCTGAGTCAATATGCAGCCCACAGAAATCCATTCCTCTTTGAAGTTGACACCACTAACTTATTGAATAGAGATTCAGACTCAGAGTCTAGCAGACCTGGGTTCAAATCCTGACTGAGTGACCCCTTAATCTCTCAGTGTCCCAGGCAACTCTCTTACTACTAGTCATAAAGTGGTCCTTGATCTGACTTGAAGGGGGAGTTTCCTGCAGTGATGAAGCCACAAGCCTAGATCCAAAAAATGAGAGCCACATTGGGTTCCCAAACCCAAGAATTAATTTTGAGCCCTCTTTGGTACAGTTTAAGAAGACTAATGTGTTTTAAAAGGTTCAATGGAATGGTACTCTCTGAGAATAGGACATTTCTGTAATTGATGTGGGTGTTAATGGGATTCATAAAGCCCCCTTAAGACTCAACAGAACATGAATGACATTTGGAATGCTAAATCCCATTGATCTGTGGTTATCTCATAACTTCCAAGTTTCTTAAGCTATGGGTCCATAGGGATAGTGCTTTATATTCTCTTCTGACACCTGGCTTTGAAGAGAAATGGCCTTGACCTTGTAAATTACACTTCGACATCAAAGATTTGGTCTTTTGACTATTCAGAAAGTAAGCTAGGATTAGCAACATCCCAATCTCTGCCTTTGATTGTCCTTGGATTTCTTTGTCACTTGAATGGTGAATCAGAAAGGAATAGTTTGCTTGGGAAATGGAAAGAGTGACCCTCTGGTTAGAATAGGTGGGAAGCAGAAAGGGATCATGGGGGATGTGGAAAGAAAGACTAGTCAAGTGTGATTTATGTAGAGGTCTCGAGAAACCAATGGGATCGAGTTATTGTGGGTTAGGACAAGAAGCATGGGATTAAGAGAGGCACTGGAAGATGAGGTTATCTCCTTCTTCCCAGGGCTGTTGTGAGGATCAAATGAAATAATATTTGTAAAGTGCTTAGCTGAGTGCCTGGCACATAGTAGGTGCTCAATAAATGTCTGTTTTCTCCCTTATCTGAATACACTTCTGCTCTTCAGGTAGGTATAGAAACAATCAGGTGAAATGACAGGGAATTAGGGGTGGAAGTATGATCTTGGCTCTTTTAATGAGTATGACAGTCAGGTGGTGCAGTGGATAGATCACTGAGACTGGCGTCTGGAAGACCAGAGTTCAAATCCAGCTCAGACACTTAATAGCTGTGTGACCTTGAATAACTCACTTACCCTCTGTCTACTTCAGTTACCTCCTCTGTAAAATGGGGATAATAACAGTACCTGCCTCCCCTGATTATTGCGAAGATCAAATGAGATAATATCTGTAAAATGAACCCATGGGGCATCAAACTCTAATTTGCTTCAATGTTTACCTCCTTCAATTATTTATTCCAGGCTACTAGGCTCAGGCAACTTTGCTCAGAAACAGAAATGTTAGAAGAGGCGGTCTTAGCATGAATATCTTCATTGGCTAGGTTGAATTAAACTTTCTGGGAAAGGTATGCAAAGCTGAGAAAACAGCAATCCTGTTTTCTCAAGAGAGAGAACAGGCTGTTTGTTGGAAACCCATGGAGGGAAACACTCTAGAATTTCACACAGTGAAGAAGATTGCTTTCCGCCATGCTGAGGCACTCTATTATATATCTCGGTTCCAAATCAAACCCACTAAATGACTCTGATGTGGTGTGAGGCTTGGACACGGTACCAACAGCAAACTCAGCTAGAAATGCTCTCAAATGAGCTAAGTTACGGGCTCCTACACTCTTGATTGGGAAACAGGTAAGGAAACAAGCATTTATTAAGCACCTCCTACGTGCCAGACACTATATCATGTGCTTTACAAATATCTCATTTGATCCTCACAACAATTCTGGGAAGGAGGTGCTCTTTTAGTTTCCATTTTACAGTTGAGGAAACTGAGGTAGATGGAGGTTAGGTAACTTGCCTATGATCATATAGCTAGCTGTTGAGGCAGGATTTGAACTCAAGCCTTCTTGATTGCCGGCCCAGTGCTTTTCTTACCACCTCACTTGTTCCGCATGCTATGTTACTGGTAGTTATAAAAGTTTAGGGGAATGATTTACTCAGGGCTGGGTGATTCAGTAGTTCTGCATTTAGAAGACTTGGGTTTGAAGCCCAGATCTTCCACATGAACTACCAGCAGGACCCTGTTGTTCATTTGTTTCAGTTGTGCCTGACTCTTTGTGACCCCAGTTGGGGTTTTCTTGGCAAAGATACTGGAGTGGTTTGTCATTTCCTTTTCTAGCTCATTTTATAGATGAGGAAACTGAGGCAAATGGGGTTGAGTGACTTGCCCAGGGTCACACAGTAAGTCTCTGAGGCTGGTTTTGAACTCATGAAGATGAGTCTTCCTGACTCCAGGCCTGGTGCTCTATCCACTGTCCCACTTAGCATGCATGTATTGTTGTCTTCTCCATTTGCTCACTGGCTCATTGCTGATAGGGATTTTCTTGTATTTGTAACCCCAAGGCCTAGCACAGTTGCCTGACACATAGCAGGGACTTAATAAATGCTTGATGACAGATCAATTGACCATGAGCAAGTCATCTTACCTTTATTTCCCCATCTGCAAAATGAGGGAATTAGATTTGTTTGACTGTACTTGTATTCGTGGTGCCTGGCACACAGTATGCCGTTAATAAACGCTTTTTAATTGATTGATTGATAGATAATTTCCGTTCCAGCTTTAAGGCTATGATACTGTGATTCCTCTCCTTTTACAGGAGATGTGCAAAGAAGGGACCACAGAGCGGGTTTTCAGAGGACAGAGACAGACAGAGAGAGAAACAGAAAGAGACAAGGAGAAAGAAAGAAAAAGAGAGAGGCTGAGAATGAGAGATAGAGAGAGACAGAGAGACACAGAGAGAAGAGAGAGAGAAAGAGAAAAAGAGAGACTGAGAATGAGAGACAGAGAGACAAAGAAACAGAGACAGAGACAGAAACACAGGAACACAGAGACAGAGACAGTGAGAGACAGAGAGAGAAAGAGAAAAAGAGACTGAGAATGAGAGACAGAGAGAGACAGAGACAGAGAATGAGAGAGAAACAGAGAAAGAGAAAGAGATTGAGAATGAGAGAGAGACAGAGACAAAGATAGATAGAGAGAGAGAGAGAGAGAGAGAGAGAGAGAGAGAGAGAGAGAGAGAGAGAGAGAGAGTGCACACTCTGGCTTTGGAGTCAGAAGACCTCAGTAATTTCTTTAGCAATAAATAACTAGCTGGGTACCCTGGGCAAATCACTTAGAATCTCTGGGCTTCATCAGCCTCACCTGAAAAACAGGGAGAATATTTGCTTTGCCCATTGCATAGGTCTGTAATGAGGTGAATGTTTTGCCAACTTTAAAGCACAAGTGACTAATACAGATGAGGCATTGTTATTTTCTGCTCCTTTGTGCCCCGGAGGGTAGATGCTTTGCACCCACCATACTTCAGGGGAGAAATTGAGTCTGAGATACTTTCCATTTTCTACTTTTCTCAGTTAGCCAGTTTATGTGGAAAAAAAGAGCCCAGTGAGCTGACTTGGGAAACAAATGTCTAGTAGAGCATTGGTGGGTGGGTGGGTGGGGCAACAAATTGTTATAACTTTTTGCCTTTAGGCAAGTGTTGTGACTTTGTAAGCTTTTGTTTAAGGGGAAACCCAGTGAGGTAGAAAACTAATATGTTTTATATCAGGCAGGTTGGGAATAAATGGACCATTTCTTTAGTCCATTCCAAAGCACCTGCCCTTGCATTCACTCAAAAAAGACTCATTTTACCACGCCTCACCTGGCCTCTCACTCTCCCCAACAACTACCTCCCTGTAACTTTTTTAAAAAAAGGATATTTAAAAACATCAGCTAAGAAAAAAGATCTTTTCTCTCTTTTCAAAGAATTTTTCTTTTTTTTTTTCCCAAAGAATTTTTCTTTATGTATTCTGGGAAATAAATTTAATCTCAAGAGATGAGTACTTCTTGTAAGTCCTTAGAACTAGGAAAAGCTGATTCATTAATTAGCATGTGCTAATTAATTAATTTCCCCTCTAAAGTTCACCTAGGCAGCCAACACTTTCTTATCATAGTGAGAGTACTCATTTTCCTTTATTTTTTATTTATTTTTTGTTTAAAATTTTATTGATGCTTTCTATTTTGATACGGATGGCTCGCTGATGTGTCTTCCCCTCATTCAGTCCTCCTTGGCAACAAATCAAAACAGGAAGGCAAAATAACACAGAAACCTCTTCTGACAGGTAGACAACATTCTATACCTGTAGTCTCCCACCTCTCAGTCAAGTGGAGACAGTTCAGTTAGGTTTTGATAGCTTAAAACTGCATTCTAACTTAGGGGACACTTTGTGTTATAGTCACCCAACTTGCTTCAATTTTCAGATTGAAAAGAGAAAGTAATTAGGATAATAGGATCCTAAATTTATATATGGAAAAGATTTCAAAGATCATCCAATCCAACTTCCTTGATACTCCCCATTAAATCTGTGTGCTATGGACGGCTAAGAAAATCTACTATTATTAAAAACAACAACAACAATCCTCTCCATTAATGAACTGAGTTATTTTAACCATACCTAGAATGCTCACCTCCTTCCCCTCCCCTCAACTTTCTTCTCTATCTATTGAATATATATTATAATTATTATATATTATCATGCTTATTATATATTGTTATATTTAATATTTTATTATATATATATATATATAATGTTATTGCCCAGAATATATACTTTCTCCTCCTCATGGAATTTAGAGTGGGAAGGGGTCTTAGCCATCATCTAATCCAATTCTTTCATTTTACGGATAAAAAAACTGAGGCTTGGAGAATGAAGAGACTTGTCCAAGGTCACACAAGCTGTAAGGAGAAAAGCAGAATTTGAAGCCAGTTCCTCTGAT